GCGCAGCAGGTCGACATTAGCCGAACTCTGTTACTTTTTACGTCAGTATTAAATAGCTTGATACTCTCTGGACAGAGCAGGTATACATCCACGGATCGAAATCAATTTGGAACATAAGATTATTGCGGGACAGGAGGATTTATTTGGTAACGAAGAAAAGAATACTAATCTGTTACGTGACATCTGTTGTACTTTTCGACAGCGAATGTTGGACGATTTCCTCAAAGATGAAGACGAGGCTTGAAGCGACGAAGATGTGGTTCTACAGAAGGCTGCTTAGGATATCATGGACTGAGCATGTGAGCAACGATGTCGTTTTGAAGACGATGCAAACAAGGAGGAGGCTTATACTTAACATCAGGAAGAGACAGCTGAAGTTCCTCGGACACATAATGAGGAAAGAAGGTCTGAAGAATCTGATATTCACAGGTCGAATAGAGTGAAAGAGAGACAAGGGAAAACAACGCATGATATACCTAGAGGGCTTAATCAAGTGGATTACAGAACGTGGTCTGGGAAAGGTGTCAGAGGGAAAGAAACTTGTTGAGTGCTGCAAGGGATAGAGGGAGGTGGAGAGCCATGATCGCCTACGTCCTGAAAGGACACGGCACATAGAAAGAAAAGAATATAGAACAAAATATATTATGTTGTTTAGTAATGATACTATCCCAATTTATATCTTTTTTATTTCAGATTATAAGAATTTTATTAATGATATAGTTTAGACCTTAATCTTATATTTTTCCTAGCAAATTAGAAATGTTGTTTGTTTGTTTGTTTGTTTACGGGTATATCAACTTCTCATGGGTCATTTAATGCCGAAATTTAATTTTTTTGGAACAGTAATAATTTCTTTTACAAAAAATATTACTGGTAATTTTTTTCTTCAAAAATATATTGTTGGTAATTTTTTCAACTATTAAAATTTATTGCAGGTACTTTTACTATAAAAATGTATTTTTATACTTTCATAGTGTATTAACCTCAATTTTGGTGTTAACTATTTGCCAATAGCTGTTATCTTAACAGGTGCTACCACGCCGGATCAGGGTGGACCTGGGAACATCAGAAATTATAAGGTCGTTTCACGCCCCTCAAAACTTCCTGATCAGAGCCCTTGCTGTCGGATGTAGTTTATCGTCTTACCCGGGACGTAGAAATGTTGTACACTATGAGTTTCATAAAGGTGTCTACAGAACTACAGCAACAAAATTCATCCAGCTCCTTATGGGTCGATCCATTGAGTGGAAAACATTGCAAGAAAAGAATTTGTCGTTTCCAAAACATGAATTTTACTCTGGTCAAGCAGCCAAGAGAGGGTTTCACTAAAAGGACGCTATTTACCCGAGACCTTCCTACAAGGCGGGATGCGGAATAGGGCCGGATTTTTCTGTGGTGGGTTTCGAGCCCGTAGCCTCTGGCAAAAATTGCTCGTAGACCCCAGTAGCTGTCTACCTCCCAAAACAAGACTCTGCTCTTTGGCATAGCCTCGTCTGGGTTACTCTCCTCCCGGAGGCAGAGAGTCAACAAGTAGAGTTAACTGTATTCGTTAACTGCTCTCAAGCTTAGATGTTGCACAAGGCTGAAACTATGGAACACCCTGTGAGGATTGAACACTACTCAGTCATAAGAGATCTAGCCAGACAAGCTTGCTAACCATTACGTCATGTCGAAGTTCGCAAATGATTTTCTAAGCGTAGCTTAGATGTAGCACACGGTCAAAAATGTGGAGCTTCTAATGAGGATCGAACTCACTATTCAATCGTAATCGATCTAGCAAGGGTAGCTTGATAACTATTAAACCACGTCGAATTGCTGTGGTAATTAAAGGACTCGAATCAGAGGATTTGGAGTCTGCTGTTATAGAAAATCCTGCTCACACGGCTAAGGAATTTATTATGGAAATACGGTGGAGTAATTGATAGCGGCTCGGATTGAGGAATCGGAGAGCCGAGGTCGAATTCCAGTCGAATCCATTACATTCACTTACGTGCTAATACCTTTGGGAAAGGTATGAATCCTCTTCTTCATTCCCCAGCTATGTGTAAGTAGCAGGACAGACTGAGTTCTATAGTCTTGGATGGCAACTGGTCCAGCGCAGAAAGAAATGGCAACCTACTGCGGGAGAAAAATCTGCCTCTTTAGTCTTGTATTACCTAATGGATAGCGGCTCGGATTGAGGAATCGGAGAGCTGAGTTCGAATTCCAGTCGAATCCATTCACTTACGAAAAGGTATGTCCTCTTCTTCTTCTTCTCCTCCTCCCCGCAGCTATCGGAAAATAGCAGGACAGACCGGGATCTATAGCCTTGGATGGAAACTGGTCTACTGCAGAAAGAAATGGCAACCTACTGCGTGAAAAACTGCCTCGTCAGATACATGATTGCCTACGCGTGCATCACGCATGGCCCATAACTGTCTGAATGTTAAATTCTTTATTATTTACACTATTTACATGTCGACTATTTTCCTCATTTTTGTTGCTCTATCACAGCATAATCTGATTATATAGTAATTGTGAGTTCAATCTTTGAACCGGATAGTCTATATTTGGAATCACTGAAAACGTCGAGCAATAACGGATCAGTCCTAAAATCTAGAAGAGATATACCTAGACATGGGCAGTGAAACGAGAACAGTCTACGTAGATTTAATAAAGTGTTCGGTTCAAAATTTCCTCTAGCTTACTAGGCTCAACTTCTTACAGGCTGTCGGAGTTAACTCCTCCTTCAGTCCGTTAACCCTCTCACCAGGGGTCTCTCTTCCCTGGCTATAAATAGCCGCTGACCCTTCGCCTCTATCTCTTTTTCCTTCAGGATTTCAGCTATCAACCTCGAAATGTAGGCGCTAACAAGGGATAGCGTGGAAACACGCTAAGCAAAATACACACACACGCACGCACATACAGAATATTCACACATGCACGCACATACAGAATATTCACACACACTTCGTCCTTTGTACTGTTTCCATGTATTGTAACTTGTTATTAATATATATTTGCATATACATATATTATCGGTCTTGTGTTTTGTTTGCTTTCTATGCCTTCTTCTTTGGACTTAATCAAAGTCCAACCTTTTTATGTAGTTGGGTCTGGCGGGCAGGAGTATCTGAACCTTACTTGCGTTTCTTCTACGTCTGACTTCTATCAACAACATAACAGCCACGGCCCCTCAACAAGGCCAAAAGCAAAATAGCAAAAACGCTGTGTTAACAACAGAGATAAATAGTTCGCTTGTAATTAGTGCAAATATATAAATATTATTCATATCTTTCAGAACTTATGTTCGTCCCAAATAAAGACCATGTTAGGAATGTTGTACACTATAAATTTTATAAAGGTGTCAACGCAAGTGCAGTAGAAAATCTTTCCAACTCGTTATGGGCTCGATGCATTGAGTGAAAGAAATGGGTTCCCGTTTCAAAACTGAGTTTTGTTTTTTGTTTTTCTAGAGGACGAACCAGGTGATGGCCGTCCAAAAGGTCTTGATTCAGAGGATTTGGAAGCTGATGTACCAGCAAATTCTGACACGACTGTCAGCGGACTCAGTGAGAAATCTAATATTACTCATATAAGAAGTCCTATCGAATTGAAAACGATAAGGATGGCTTTCAGTTCTTCGAAAATGGCTCCCACGCGATCAGTTTCCAGAGAATCGTCAACAACGTCTCGCTCATTGCGAGGTAATGATTACACGACAGCATCAATTTGGTCTAGCTTGTTACAGATTCTGAAAAGAGGGTCCTTTACCATAATGTTTAGTACCGTCGTCAGTGGATCCGTCAAGAAAAAAAACCCACTCAGCAATCAAGAACAGAATTTTATCCAAAGATGGTATGGTGAGATATTTAAGGAATTATCTCTTATTAACTGTAAGTCATTAATCAAACAATGTCTACTTTGTTCTATGAAATCAACTTCAGACAGAAAATCCTTAATCTTTATTCAACAAAGGGATTATTTACACTATATACATTGTTCGAGTTGTTATCCTCATCTTCGTTGATATATTCACGACGTTTTGGTTGTTGTAAGTTCCAGCATCCTTCAAGCTCATGGACACATGGTCCGGTGCATAAAAGCATTGGTTAAATCCAGTGATTTGATCCCAAAAGTTGTGAGTTCGATACCTGGCTACAGCAGAGAAGTGCAAACTGGTAAGTAGTGTCAAAGTACGGTTGGTTTTACTAGGGTGCGTAAAAACAGCGAAGTCTGGTTTTGTTAAAATAATTTCCAAACAAATCAACTTATTCAAATTTCATCGATTGGTTTGCGAAAGTGAACGAACGTAGAGTTTGTAAATCACGACAAAAATGTTAGCCATCACTTCAACAATAGTAAGTACCATGATAATTTCAACACTCTTTAGCGTGTTGCAAAACAATCCTAGTGACTATGAACTTTCATTCGTTGTGCGTTTTCGGTTCCAACACACCCCATGAGTGCCTAAGGATGTTTTTAAGAATTTACCATCGATAGATTGGCTTCCAAACAAGGTTAGAGAGCCTAATCTACTACTCTATTTAACCCATAGCTGGGGCAGAAAGTTCTAGTGATTAGATATTTCTGAAAGCATTAGTCTTCATTTGTAATATAAAAGATAAAATCGGACAGTACTTTCGTTCCAGTCTACAATGATATTTAACCCATAGCTTGGGCAGAAAGTTCTAGTGATTAGATATTTCTGAAAACATTAGTGTCTTCATTTGTAATATAAAAGATGAAATCGGACAGTACTTTCGTTCCAATCTACCATGCTATTTAACCTATAGCTGGGGAGAAAATTCTAATGATTAGATATTTCTGAAAGCATTACTGTCTTCATTTGTAATACAGAAGATAAAATTGGACTGAACTTTCGATCCAATCTAGCATGCTATTTAACCCATAGATGGGAGGAAACGTTCTCGTGGTTAGATATTTCTGAAAGCATTAGTGTCTTCGTTTGTAATATAGAAGATAAAAAACTTTCGATCCAATCTAGCATGCTATTTAACCCATAGATGGGGGAACGTTCTCGTGGTTAGATATTTCTGAAAGCATTAGTGTCTTCGTTTGTAATATAGAAGATAAAATTAGATGGGATCGAAAGCATGCTATTTAACCCATAGATGGGAGGAAACGTTCTCGTGGTTAGATATTTCTGAAAGCATTAGTGCCTTCGTTTGTAATATAGAAGATAAAATTAGACTGAACTTTCGATCCAATCTAGCATGCTATTTAACCGATAGATGGGGAGAAAGTTCTCGTGGTTAGATATTTCTGAAAGCATTAGTGTCTTCGTTTGTAATATAGAAGATAAAATTGGACTGAACTTTCGTTCCAAACTGATATTGGCTACTTCATCCACTTCCTTGACGCTCGATATGAACTACAACTTCTGCGCCTTGCTTTCGCTCTTTTACGTCTTTTTCTTCGCCCCTGACTCCCCTCCACCTGTTTCTGCTCCCCTAACATTTTCTTATCCTCCAGCTCCACTTTTCCTCGTGCACTTACTTGTCTTCTCAAAACTTCCAAATTAAAGAAAGCCGTTAACATTGATTTTCAGCGCTGTACTAATAGAAAAGCAAACAAAAGTCACTTCGATTTCCCTAAAGAATCACAACAAGCGGTATCTAAAATCAACATTTGTTCTATTCCAATCCAGTCAGCGCCTTTAAAGATAAAACTTGTAAAAAAATTATTGAATCAACACAAATACAGTAAAATTTGACAACGTTAAGAATAAATAATAAGTTTCAACTCATCTCCGTCTTCTATATACCGTTAACTTTCAGGACAGGGGCGAACATTGCTCTTCACAATTTCCATTATTTAGTATTGGGTTGGTGCATAATTATCAGTCGTTTTTTAAACAATACTTATTATGAGAAAAGAAACATAGCAATTCAACAATAACATTTTTAAATGAGCATGATTATCGACACGCATTTTTATAACCTGAAAATAAGATAATATTTTTATTAAAAAATGTTAACAAAGCAGTAGTTTTTAGTAACAATTAACTCGCCTACAAAAACGCCTAATAATTATTCACCAACCCAATAGTTCTTAACAAAGATTGTCTTTATTTTTTCTTTTTCTTTCAGATTTAACAGCATGAGTCTTTGGCAATTTCAAACATGAGAACGATTAACAATCAGGCAATCTCTTAATGTTTAAAGAGTGCAATTGGAAAAATTGTTCGTAAATTCAAATAAACTGGGTCATTGTCAGATGTGAAACCACCATTGCGTAAACGTTTATGCCGTTCAGATAAAAAAAACATTGCTGCAGTGCACGAGAATATGGTCAAAAATCCAAACATCTGTATTAGTCATCGCACGCAAGAATTGAACCTCTCCACAACAACGTTACCTCGTTTCCATTTGCACTCTCGGTTAGTCGATTATATTGACCAAAAAATCGCAAAGTGTGCGAAATGCATTTCTGTTTGAACGTCCATTTGCATAATAATCTTCGATAACTTTAACGTTGTTTGATGGTTAATCTTTCCATGGTTGAAATTTCCTAATACTTAAGTTGTTAAATCTGAAAGAAAAAGAAAATAAACATAATTCGGCCTCTTCTTTTTACTAACAACCAGGCATACTGTCTTCTTGAAATTAATATTTAATCCTGTTTTTCAAAATTCAAAACGTCTTTTCTTTTCTCTCAACTGTGCGGTTCTGTGGAGTTCTTGTATTTTCCTTTCTGTGTTTGCTATCAACACTGCGCCGCCTGCATATCTTCTGTTGTTCTTTATAGATTAAATAAATCCGGTGAGAAGACAACGTGCTTTGTTTTTCTCCCTTGTCATTTTTTGTATATAGAATCACATTAGATGAGACAAAACATTTAGTGTAGCTGGCATGTCTGAGTTGGAGCTAAACAATCTACACTTTCCAGGTCTTTTAGGGGATGATTTCCTCGTAACAATGCAAGCAATAAGTACTTATTCTATCGATATTTTCACGAGAAGAATTTCTACTCTGGCATCTTTTTTGTTTTCGAGAAATTCAACTTTGTAGACCAAACACCGGTATGGAAGCTTTCGTTAATGTAATAAGTGTTCTTTTTTATTAACCTCTCGTTTTAGTTCACTGAGAACGACATTTCCCCTTTATCTCTCGGCTAACATATAGGAGGACGATATATTATGAAACATCTAAGCAGGGCTTAGAAAATCAATATCCTCATTATCATCATGAATTTCACCTCCTTTTACTTCGTCTTTCATTCACATCACACACTTCCTGTACGCCATCATCATGGCTGATGCTAGACTCATTGAGAGCAACACACTGCGCCTTCTTGTCCTCACGTTTACAACTGACTTGAAAAAAATTTGAAGCTGATGTCTGAGTTGGAAACAATCTAACTTTCATCTACTGCAAGGAAAGTTGGGTCACTGTGTCGATATTTGCCAGAAGTTTCTCTCGTTTTTTTAATCCATCTTGAACATTTACAAATCTACCATTCGTCCGTGCATTGAATACTGTTGCCATATCTGATCTGGTGCTCCTGCTATTCATCTCGAGACTCTTGACAAAATCCAAACAAGGATCTGCAATCGATTCTGACTTGGCATTTCGACTTCAGTCACTTTCACACCGACTTGACGTGGCTTCCTTCTGTCTTTTCTACAAATATTTTCACATGAAATTCCTTTCCGTTTTAAATGTTTCCTTGAAAACTACAATTTTCAAAAATTTAAATGCAACGTCAATCGACATTTTCTATAATCTTCAATCCCGTTCATCTTTCGTCCTTTCCACAACCCCCACCCCTAAATCCAGTCTTTTATCTCACTTTCACTCTCTGTAACGCCCTGCGTTGTAGTAATGTTCCTGTCTTACTCGGAGTGAAATGATTAAAAAACAATCAGGTTACCATGAGTAGATTTTCAGGGTTGGATTTTGGTGAACTTTAGTATAAAATAAATGTGTGTCAACTCCAAATCCTACTAACTGCAGCAGAAATACGAAACGTATCCCTTGAGCAAGACATTCACTAAGACCCCAACAACATTTAGTGCGAGTTCCCCTAGGAGAATCGAATAGTACTCTTAATTATTCAACGATGTATGCTATCCTTCTGTAATGGATAACGGCTCGGAATAAGAACAGTCAGGTTCGTTACATTCACTTAGGCGCAAATACCTTGGCAAAGGTAGGAATCCATCTCCTTCTCCGCGTTCTTGGTATGACGATAAACTACATCCGCATCCTGGGCAAGACGATAAACTACATCCAGGCAAGACGATGAACTGCATCCGCGTCCTGGGCGGGACGACGAACTGCGTCCAACAGCGAGACCTCTGATAATACGTTTTTGAAAAAATAATATTACCAGCCCTACATTTTTGAGGAAAAAAAATATTAACAGAAATAGATTTTTGATAAAACAAAAATATTACCAGGAAAAAAAAGAGTTGTCGGCATTAAATGACCCATTGAGGTTGATATGCCGTAAAACAAAACAACCCAAACCAACCCTTCTCCCAGCTATGGGTTAAATAATAGGATTCATATACGGAACAATCATTACAGGTTGTTTCTAATGTCTAGACAACATAGGAATAAATGCATATTTTCCAGAAATTAAATTTTCAGCAACATTTTATTGAATTTCCATCATTTGTGATGCAAAGGTTGATGGGCTTTGCTAGATTCACGTAAACTTAGTGAAATAACTCCAGATGGCTGTCAATTTTAGCAAATTCATTCTTTATATGTTCAATCAATCACGCATACTCTAGAAAAAGAAGTCAAATGTTTTTTGTTTCGACAAAAACATGTTTAATCTGTGGAGGTAAAAAAATATGTAGTTAATGAGAATTCGTATGTGTCCAAACTATAGGGACATACCTTGTACAAACCAAAATAAATTTTGGTTTTGCATTAATGGTTAGTCCTTTCTTCTTGCTCTCCTGACTAGCTTCTGTACGTGTCCTTGTAGTTTCTGCTATCAACACTGTGTCATCTGCATATCTTATGTTTTTTAAGATTGTGGCCGCCAATAATAAATTATGTTAGGACAGCTAATTCTCTCAGTGTTGATAAACCGTAAAATATCAACAATCACCAATGGGATCCAATTCTGTATTCAAATAAACGACGTTTGCGTGTATGTCTACGAACTACACAGCAAATTATTTTGCTGAATTACATAAGTTGCAATAGTTTGGTGTTTGGAAAAATCAAGTCGAAATATGCAATGTATGTCTTTAACATACATGACAACCTTTTCTGTCAAGTGGACTGCATGAGATATGGCTCATCATAAGGCTGATTGCACTGCTAAAAAGATTCAAGGTGTGTTATATTTATCAGGGTTTATCCTCTATTCCCCCAAAATTCCCCACCTAAGTGATGGCCATGTTTGCTTTTGCTTAACTTTAAAATAAACCAGTGATTATGAGTTTGATTTGACGACATTTATCTACTGAATAAAGGCTGGTAAGACAAGGAATGGATAGCGGCTCCATTGCTAATAGCCTTGGGAAAGGTATGAATCCTCTTCTTCTCTCCCCAGCTATGAGTAAATAGCAGAACAGAAAATAGCAGGACAGACCAGATTCTATAGCCTTGGATGGAAACTGGTCTACTCAGAAAGAAATGTCAACCTACTGTGGGAAAACATCTGTGTCAGTCATGTATCGAAAGATACATGATCGCCTAAGCGTGTATCACGTATGGCACATAACTGAGTGACTGTTTGTTTATTGAAATCCAACTCTACTGTTACTACTGCCTCCATTTCATTGCAGAAGATGTGCGGGTGGTGTTACTTATGGCGTCAAGGAATGAGATAACGGAGAACCGAGGACGAATTCCAGTCAAATCCATTACATTCACTTACATGCTAATACCCTTTTGAAAGGTATGAATCCTCTTCTTCTCCACCCCAGCTATGGGTAAACGAAAAGGTATGTCCTCTTCTTCTTCTCCTCCTCCCCGCAGCTATCGGAAAATAGCAGGACAGACCGGGTTCTATAGCCTTGGATGGCAACTGGTCTACTGCAGAAAGAAATGGCAACCTACTGCAGGAAAAAATCTGCC